ACAATTCCATTCTTGGTACCAAATTCCCATCTTAGTCCATTTTTCTGTTGTTTTAATGAAATACCCTAGACTGGGTAATTTATAAAGACTACAAATTTATTCAGCTCAAGGTCCCGAAAGATGGCAAGTCCAAGAGCCTGGCACTGGCACCTGCTCAGCATCTGGTAAAGGTGTTCTTGATGCAAAATAATATGGCAGGGGTATCACATGGTGAGACAGAGCAAACATGCTAGTTTAGGTTGCTTCTCCTCTCCTTATAAAGCTACTATTGCAATCATGGGGACTTTATTTTCATGAGCTCATCTAATTCTGATTATCTCCCAAAGGCCTCACCCCTAAATACCATTAATATATACATTTGGGGATTATCCATTCCATGAACTTTTGAAGGACACTATAGCACCCTAGCTTTTTAGTTTCTGGATTTTCTCCTGTCCTGAATGATCTTGCCTACCACCTCAGCCACTTACTCTCATAGTCATACTCTGTACTTAATTATTATCAACAAATGCTATCTCCAATTTAAGCATACCCCTCTATCCTCCACCCCTCCAGCTAACTCTATTCCGATCAATCTTCTGGGACTCAGAAATAAATTTTATCTTTTCATTCTATCTTTGTACTGTTCATCATCCTACTAACTCCTCACCCATTATCCAACTTTTATTCCTAGGTCTTATCACTTGTTGAATTTTTCCTATGTATTAACCATTTTCATCATCTCTTTTATCCTGCACTTCTACTCTAAGATCTAGGTATAATGACATTCACTGTACAGGAAACTGAAATTTTTATAGGTAAACCTGCCTAGAATTACAGAAATAAAATGTGGGGGATCTAGAATTTTAAATATCTCAGCCATCAGTTTTTTGACAGTAAATTAGGCATAAAAATAATTTATCTTGCTGAGTTATGATGATCACATGTACACAAAAGCATTCTGTGAAGTGTAAAGTATCTTACAAATATCAACTATAATTATATGCTAATGACTGGAGAGAGCTCTTACCCTTCCTCATCAGGAGTCCTAACCCAAGACTTACCTCAGCCTTCCCCTTCTCCTTCATAATTGTGATCATAGAGGAAGCAACTGTTTTTACTACCCTGTTGGTAGAAAATTCATCTTTGATGAGAAGCTTCAAAACTTTGGAGAAAAAGCAGCATCATAAATGATGGTTAGGTTCTAACTAGCTATCGGGGGCCTGGTTTCATTATGGCTGAACTGACAAAGTTTATAAGCTAGACTATAATTCATTACAATCAACTGCCAAATAAAAGAACTTTGATAACTAAATAGGCAAACACCTGCCTTGTGCTTTCTTATCTAAACCACCGAAGAACAAGAGTTTAGAAACAATGGAACCAAGCCTGATATATAAAAGGCTGTCTCTTAAGATATTTAGAAGTCTAATAGAGAACTTGGAACCCTGGAGGTCTGAGACCTCTCTCTGATGTCCAGAAAGAATACTGTTATTGTCCAAAGAAAGCCTATATTCCACATATTAGAATTCAGCTGTGGGCCCAACTCATTCCATTTTGTTGTAAGCAGAACTTCATCAACAGGGCAGCCCAGAACCACCAAGTTTCCTTGTAATGATATGATTAATACTATCAAGTAAATTACTTCCTTATAAATACAAAACTAGAGGCTCTTCTCACCTAACAAGGAAAAGAAAAAAACCTTCATATGCTACTTTATCTACTGCATTTCATTTCTTCCCTATTCTAGACTAATACTCCACATCTGTGAATTCTTCATGCCAAAGCATGTCTATTTCTGCTTTCTGATGTTATGTAGGATAGCTTTCCTACATTTCACCTTCAAAGCTGACCCTGAAACTCTTCCACCAGAAAATCTGCAAAAGATAGAATCATTAGCCTGCTTTTATTTGCATGTTTAATCACCCCGCTATGCAATATTGCATAGGGATGTGGACTTCTATACAAAGAAGTTACTGTGAAAGGTAAGGTAACACTCTGCAACAGATGTACTAGATTAGAAGTCAGACCAGGGCTCAATTTTCTATTTTGCCTCCTTGCTCACTTAATGCTCCTGAATATATGCAGAAATAATATCTATGCTTCACAGAGTATGTTGCTTGATGGTTAAGAAGACAACACACCAAAGCAAAATATAAGGATATTTTACATTTATTCCCTGTGATGTTTAACACAATTATCTTGCATAAAGTAGATATTTATTAAATATTAATGACCCACTAACTCTTCATCAGGCCAAAGCCTATTTGCCTCCTGTTTTATTTTGTTTTTCTAGTTTAAGATACTATCTTACACTAGTTAGTTTCCCAAAGAGGAGAGGAAAATCTGGGCTAAAATAATCTTTACCAGCTCTTTCCAAATATTCTTTTCAGGTAAAGTCAATTTAAGTGTTGGGTTATGTTCAATATAAAATTGTGTGACAGAGGCAATGCTGAAGTGTTCATCAAACCCCATTTCCTTTTCTACTAGGCACACACATTTTACTTCCCAACTACCCTACAGATAGGTGGCGCCATATGACCAGACACATGAATTCTGATTAAGAGAAAGTGGTGAAATTATGTGTGTCATTAATACTGCCATTGGTTCAGCTACACTCTCTTCCCTTATCTGAAGCCCACAGATGGTATTATTCTAAGGCCATGGGGATGTGGAGCCACTAGATGAAAGGAGCTGGATCCTTTTGTGAATGCAAGAAAAGATCCTCCACCTACTGGCCCCAACCAACCAGCAACACACTGTGACTTATATAATACAAGCCTTTATGGAGTTAAGCAACTGATACAGCATTGTTAGCCTACCCTGATTACACATCTTATATCTATCACCAGTAGTAGCATAATTGAAAAGAACCTCTGGACTTAGTTCTAGGACCTGGAATACAAATTCTGGCTCTACTATTACCCCCACACATCTCATGATCTGCTCCTAGAATATGCTCTGTTTCTTTTCTCAACTAAATGTCTAGCACTTTCTCCTCTTTCTCATTATAGAGCCCTCCCCACTCCTCTGTGATTTCTGAGACCTTTCCTGACCTCCCTCCCATATATTATCACTTTTCTTTGCCATATATTATCTATCTTTGTACTGTCCATCATCCTACTAACTCCTCACCCATTACCCATATACTCTTAGTGTGGAGTATACTGCTCTGTTTTAACATCTATTTTATTTTATTGCAAACATTTGGTGGCATGTGCTTCCACAGACTGAATCCTTTCTTTGATTTGCCTCATTTTCTTACAACATCTGGCATATGGCAGAAAATAAATATGTATTAAAGGAATGATTGTCATACATGACCTTAGTGAGTTACTTATTTTAAATAGGATGTAAAATTTTACAGTGTTAAGATGCTATTTCCAAAATCCCAAAATAAAACTCTGGGGCTTTTTGAAGCAAAGACAAAGGACTTATTCCCCGGGGTCAAGAGTGCAGAGACCAAGCAGTTCTTTAACCCCCATCACAACCCAGGGATAGGAACAAGCTTACAAGGACTAAAACCACAAAGAAGGGTGGCAGGAGAGGCGATTATAATCAAAAGATACATTTCATAAGGTGGAAAAGTTACAAAAAAAGAATCATATGGTCATACTCTCAGAAATTACATTATCAGAAAAACAACCTTGCATTAGTCCCACAGACTATGCAAGTTCTATGAGAGTGGGCTCATGGGGAAGGGGGGAAATTTCACACAGGATGAGGTGTCTGAACAAAATGGGATAAGTCTGGGCTAATTTTCAAATCAGCCCATAACAACAAAACTATTGTGATAATGAAATAATAACTAATGAAATAATGAACGTGAATGTGACTTACTGGTTGCAAACAGATTCTAACAGTAATGTATCATATTCTGTTTTTCAGGCCTTTCTCATCTTTTCCTATCAAGCCATCTAAATAGTTCAAGTTAACACCATCTAAGAGATTTAGTACAAGTCACATTTGTCATTTAGAAACGTTTAGTGGCCACATTATAATGACATAATTCAAAGGGCTGCCTGGATTTTTTTTTTTCTGAAAAAAAAATTAAAAAGAAACTTTTCAGTTGTCACATTTAAAAAGTTAAAAGTAGGTGAAATATCACTTTGTGAGCTCTTTTTTTCTTGTTTTAAAATCAAGTCGCCTTTGGTGTGCATGTTAACCTTACAGTACATCTCCATCCAGACGAGCCACATTTCCAGAGCTCAGATGCCACATGTGGCTAGGGGGACAATGCAGCCATGGGCCTGCTTCAGAGTGCACCATCGTGGTGAAGTCCACCTGAAGGAACTGCCCACCCCTCACTGAGAACTAATGACTCTCCAGGGCCCTCTCCAGCATTCACCCCTCACGGTCTGGACACCTAGAGGCTGTAGGTTTCTTGTCAAATTCTAGACGGGGCTTGAGGAATGGCTCTCACAGCGCCGGCTCCAGCCCGTAACGGGAGGTTATAAATTCAAGGTAATCAATGGAGCCAGGTGCCGAGAACCCCGTGGGAAGCTCAGTGGCCAGGACCGAAGATGGTCCGTGGCGGAACCGCGCGGGCCGGCGGCCACCCAGGCACGGATCCCGCGCCCCGCGGGCCAGACACCGGGGCCGGCGGCACCCCCA